CAGGTGTGTTGAGGAGTAAGGCCCAAGAAGGGCAGGTACACCCCTTCCTCCCTCCTCCCCCCTTCCCCCCTCTCCTTCCCACCCTTCCCAACCCCTCCTTTACGCCTTCCCTTCTAACATTCTCCCTCTGGCCTCTCTCCATTCTTACCTTTCTCCCAGACTCTCCCAATACCTCCCACTCCCTCCTTTCCTCTCCCACGTAGATCCAAATGCCTACCATCAGTAGAAGGATTCTACATGGGAGTACATGAAAGCACATGCATGTACATGGGAAAGACAGACATCGGAGGACTTAGAAGTCCACAGCGAGGCTGTCTACCGAGAGCTATCTATTGCTATCTGCATTAAAGTCTATCGTGTATTATCCATGTGTCTGTAGTTAAATATTTCAAAGAAATTCAAGAATATTGAGACTGTCTTTTTATAAATGTTTAGGAAGTGTTTAAACACTTTATATATAATAATAAAAAATAAAACATCTGTGTAAACATAACACAGCCTTGATAATACTTATTTGCTTCCTCTAGGGCCAAGAGCTAGAGCACAAGTGATGACTTATTGTGTAAGGCCTCTTACTGGAGAGAAACTTGGTTACAACAAGTACTCGAGAACTCTCTTGAACACTCCTGAGCACTAATGAACACTCCTGAGCACTACTGAACACTACTGAACACTCATGAACACTCCTGAGCACTACTGAGCACTACTGAACACTCCTGAACACTACTGAGCACTACTGAACACTCCTGAACACTACTGAACACTCCTGAACACTACTGAACACTTCTGAGCACTACTGAACACTCCTGAGCACTACTGAACACTCCCGAGCACTACTGAACACTCCTGAGCACTATTGAGCACTCCTGAGCACTACTGAACACTCCTGAGCACTCCTGAATACTACTGAACACTTCTGAGCACTACTGAACACTACTGAACACTCCTGAACACTCCTGAGCACTACTGAAACTACTGAACACTCCTGAACACTCCTGAGCACTACTGAACACTCCTGAGCACTACTGAACACTCCTGAACACTACTGAACACTCCTGAACACTACTGAACACTACTGAACACTCCTGAACACTACTGAACACTCCTGAGCACTACTGAACATTCTTGAGCACTACTGAACACTCCCGAGCACTACTGAACACTCCTGAGCACTCCTGAACACTACTGAACACTCCTGAGCACTACTGAACACTACTGAACACTCATGAACACTCCTGAGCACTACTGAGCACTACTGAACACTCCTGAACACTACTGAACACTCCTGAGCACTACTGAACACTCCTGAGCACTACTGAACACTCCCGAGCACTACTGAACACTCCTGAGCACTATTGAGCACTCCTGAACACTATTGAACACTCCTGAGCACTCCTGAACACTACTGAACACTTCTGAGCACTACTGAACACTACTGAACACTCCTGAACACTCCTGAGCACTACTGAAACTACTGAACACTCCTGAACACTCCTGAGCACTACTGAACACTCCTGAGCACTACTGAAGTCTCCTGAGTATACCGAACACTCCTGAACACTACTGAACACTCTTGAACACTACTGAACACTCCTGAACAATACTGAACTGCTCTTGAACATCCTGAGCACAATTGAACACTCTTCAACATTCTTTAACACTTCTGAACACTGCTGAACACTCCTCAGCATTGTTCAGAAATCTTCAAACTGAGGTAATGTCGACGGCCATTTTGTTGGCTCCGGTTACATGGTGTTGATCCAAGGAAGCGGAGCGGCTCCCTCTCCTTTCTCGGATCTACCCAGAGTGCCTACCATCATCCTCCCCCCCCCAGGCGCTGTAATGACTCCTACGGATTTAGCGCTGCATGAGTATAGTAATTTGTAATAACTCTCTCTCTCTCTCTCTCTCTCTCTCTCTCTCTCTCTCGTCTCTCTCTCTCTCTCTCTCTCTCTCTCTTTCTCTCTCTTCTCTCTCTCTCTCTCTCTCCTCTCTCTTTCTCTCTCTCTCTCTCTCTCGTCTCTCTCTCTCTCTCTCTCTCTCTCTTCTCTCTCTCTCTCTCTCTCTCTCTCTCTCTCTCATACACTCACGACCATCATCACCATTATGCCACCGAGACGAGTCAGACGTCTGGTGTCGGAATACACGATGGTAAACCTGCCTAAATTTTCCCTACATCGTTGTTGGCAAATTGCTCGTTCTATTGGCATTGATTACGAACGCACTCTCACAGCGGCGCAGCTTTGTACTCTTATAAGTATCAAACTTCGGGAAGAGGAGATGGCACATCAGACTCCTCCCTTTACGGGAGCCAGGAATAAAACCCCGATCTTCTCGCAGGAGGAAAATGATAGATTAACGGAGCAAAACCGTCAGTCTCATACAACAAGGTTGTCTGAAGACGAATCAGCTGCGTTGGCACTTAAGTTGGCGAAGATCAATCTTGAGTAGACTAGGGAACAGATGGCATATACCAAGGAATAGTTTGATAGAGAGAAAGAAAGAAGGCAGTTTTCTCAAGTTGTAAATGACTTTAGCTTACAGAAAGCAGTACAGCTTCTTTCCCGCTTGAATGAAGCAAAACCAGAAGAATTTTTCGAAACTTTGGAAAATCAGGCTCGAGCCTTGAGGTGGCCGGAACAGCATTGGGCGTCATTGGTTCACACAGCATTGTTTAGTAAGTCACAGGAATTTACGTCAGTGTTAAATGACACTGATTTTTCCGATTATAAAGTAGTGAAGACCACAGTTCTGGGAACATATCAATGTATCCCAGCTAAGTATAGGAAGTCATTCCCATTCTAGAGCTGGTTGAAGCACGGTCTACTCTCTAGTGGCTTCCCCACAAGGAAGGTTCCTTGATGTTGGTGAGGGGCTCTTGATTTAGGAAATTGGATCTGTGCTCCAGTTCCCCGAATTAAGCCTGAATGCCTTCCACATCCCCCCTCCCAGGCGCTGTATAATCCTCCGGGTTTAGCGCTTCCCCTTGATTATAATAATAATAATCTCTAGTGGCCTCTCTCCTGCCTTGCTTACCGTGGAGTGCACTAATACCTATTGTTGTACATAGTGTATATAGTGTACAACTTCTGTTCTAAATTGGTGAAGGATAATGTAAGTCATGAGTTTTTCTGCTGTGTTTATTTTGCTCCCTTTACACCCAGGGTAACAGGCCTGGGTTGTAATAACCATCATCATCACCACCACCACCATCATCACCATCATCATCACCATCACCACCATCATCATCACCACCACCACCATCATCACCATCACCATTCATACCATCATCACTATCACACCATCATCACATCATCCCATCACACCACCATCACATCATCACATCATCATCACACCATCATCACATACATCATCATCATCCATCACATCACCATCACCATCATCACTACATCATCACCATCAACCACCATCACTCATCACATCACCAATCACCAATCATCTCATCATCATCATCACCATCAACCATCAACCATCACTCATCCCATCACACCATCATCCCCATCTCACCACACCATCACCATCATCACCATCACCATCATCACCATCAACCATCACACCATCATCACCACACCACCATCATCACCATCTCACCATCCACATCATCACCCACCATCATCACCATCACCCACCTCATCATACACCATCACACAACCATCATCTATCACACCTCACACCATCTATCACCATCACCATCATCACCATCATCACCACCACCACCATCATCACCATCATCACATCACCATCATCACCACCATCACTCATCACTACCGCCATCATCACCATCATCACCATCACCATCCATCATCACCATCCACCATCACCATCATCACATCATCACCATCACATTATCACCATCCATCATCATCACCATCACCATCATCACCACACCATCCATCACCATCATACCATCATCACTCATCACCACATCACCACACATTATCACATCCACCTATCACCACCACCATCACATCATCACATCATCATCACCATCACCATCACCATCACCATCATCATCACCATCACCACCTCATCATCACCATCACCACCATCATCACCATCATCCACCATCATCATCACCATCACCATATACCACCACACCACCATCATTATCATCCATCACCACCACACCATCCACCATCATCATCACCATCACTCATCACCACCATCATCACCATCACCATCATCACCACACACCATCATCGTCATCTACCATCCACCATTATCACCATCACATTACACCACACCATCATCACCACCACCTCACCATTCCACCATCACACCATCACCATCATCACCACCACCACCCCACCACCTCACTCATCAACTTCACCACCACCATCATCACCATCATCACTACCACATCACCATCATCATCCACCATCCTCACCATCACCATCACACCATCACCACCATCATCATCATCCATCCACCACCACATCATCACCATCATCACTACCATCCATCACCATCATCACACCACCACCATCACCATCACCATCATCCACCATCACACCATCATCACCATCCATCCACCACCTCCACCATCACCATTATCACCACCACATCACCACCCATCATCACCATCACCACATCACATCACCATCACCATCCACCACCATCATCCATTCCACCACATCATCTCACCATCATCACCATCAACACCATCACTCATCACCATCATCACCATCTCATCACCATCATCATCACCATATCCACCATCATCATACCCATCACACCATCATCATAGCCTTCCAACATGCAAAGTAACAATAACACTGTTCAAAGTAACTTCAAAGTAACCTTAGCAACACCTGTCCATAACATGAACAAATGGCAAAGATAATAGGAGTTAGGGGAGCCTGGTTTGATCCAATGAAGGGAGACCGCCCTGACTACTCAAGGCGAACTCCCTTGAAGGTGGAATCTAGAAGTAAGGGAAAGACTAGCGGCAGCTTACTACCATGAATTATTAAGGTCAC